GTGACAAGTACAAATGGAGAAACAGGCTTGATACTGGCTCTTGGAGTACTGGGATTAAACCCACTCCACATTAACTCCCTGAGCAAAGTGAACTCTTATCAAAGAAGCAGTACTGGCTGGCCACAGGGGCCTGCAGTCCCAAGCCAGGGTGCTGCTGGTGCAGCCTCGCACACAAAGCCCCACAGCAGGCACGTTCTCCTGTCGAGACCTTGCAGCCATCAGGGGCCAGGACCTGACCAGGGCCCAGGGCTTTACTGCTGTCCTGTAATTTGTGTGACCAGTTTAGAGCTACAAGAACTCTACTCATCACCTTCTGAAAGGTGGCTGTTTTCTGTACTCTGGGAACTGTACCAGAAGTGTTTTCTGTAACCACGGAACCCCACAGGAGCTTCTCTTTGCTTCCTGCATTTGGCAGAATTTACAAACTTCACCTGAATTTCTTCTTTCATCAGGTATGAAAGACCAACTTCCTCCTCCTCTTCACCTTCCCCCAAATCTGAGGCTCCATCATCCTCATCATCTTCCTCTTCATATTCTCCTGGAGGCCCAGCTTCATTCTCATCATCATCGTCATCTTCATCCCCTTCTGCAGCAAAGGACACACACGCAGACCAGAAGTTCAGTTTCGTTCACTCCTCTCTGAGTACAGCAGGATGGGCTGGCTCTAATAGTTTTTTTCCTGAAGGATTTGGGGATTTTTATTTTTTTCTAAATCCAGGCAACACACGGGAAATGACCATAATTGTAACCAAGTTAAATTCTGTCATTTTTTCTCTGAGAAAGACTTCCAGAGTTTTTCCATCACAAGCTTCAGGCAAGACTCTCCATGTCTGAAGCAGCTACAAATGCAAACCCCTGCCAGCAGAAGGGGCTGACAGCCATAACAGCTCCCCTAAGGACTGCAACCAAGTTGGGACCAAAAGAAACTAGGTGAGCTTTTGGAACTAAAATTTGTATTATACTGAAGCAGGTGGCTGAAGTCATTACCAAACCCTGTAAAATCGTAATTTTTTATTCAAAATAGTGTGCGTGTCCCCTTGCTCTGTATTGCTCAGTGGCACAAAGGGCTTTACTGCTGGCAACAACTCTGAGAATATTTGTGTCTTTGCAAAAGTATCTTTAGTAATTCCCTTAAGCCCAAGCAGCTCCTGCAGGACTGGAACCCTCTGACGGGAGTTTCTGCTCTGTATCAGTGCATTAATGCCAAACACACTCTGAACTCTGCTATTCAGGAGCACGAGCAGAATTGCACTCATGCTCAGGAAGACCCCATGCTACACAGAGAGCTTTATTCCAGCATCCCATTCCTACTCCGGGTTTGTTTCAGGAAGTTACCGTCATCATCATCCTCTGAGTCTGGTGCCTCGTTGTCCTCCTGATCAAACCCATCCAGGTATGTGATCTGCTGGAGCAGCTCAAAGATGCTGTCCCTGTAGTCCTCAAGGTTTGTAATCTCACAGTTGAACAGGTCAAGGCTCTTCAAATTCTTCAGGTTTTGCTGAAAATAAATGGAAAGTTTTTTTCCTGTAGTGCTCCCCGATACAGCAGGGTCACAGCCCAAGTGTAACAGAATTTACTTTGTCCTCAGCCCTCATTTCTAGTTAGAATTTTTCTCCTTCAAAGTTCAGTCCAAGTTGCTGGCAGTGGCCAAATCTCCAGCGAAGGCACTGGGAGTTGTGTGGAACAATTCCCACGCAGCTCCCAAAGCCCCAGACTCTCCCACACCTTGGGGGCTGGGTTATGTGCGCAGAGCCCAGCTTTGGACAGAAACCCAAATCATCCAGAAAAATGGCAGAATGGATCACCACGGGCAGCTCCCTCCTCTGCTTCATTGTCCCACTCCTGGCTGTATCACACCCGAGTCTGAGTCACTTCACGGCTTAATGAAAACTCATCAGACAAACACACCTTAACAAACAAGCACAGGGGAATCAGCAGGACACGCCTTGGCCACTTTTTCTTCAAAGACAAAGCAAGCCAAATCATCCCTGGTTTGGGACATCCCATTCCTGACACATTTTCCAGCAGTGCGGTTACACATGCTGTCCTATAACCATGCCACTGAGTCTATCCAACCAGACCAGCCATGAGACTGATGAACATTTGTACCAATATTAAGGGTTCTTGATAAAAAATAGTACTTATTACATCTCCCCAGAGCCCCTCCCACTTCACACTCACAAGAGCTTCCACAGTGCCAAGATCTTTGATTTTGTTGCCACTTAGATTTAGATATGTGAGATTAGGACATCTCTCTGCAAGGACCTCCAGGCCTCCAGAAATGACGTTGTCGCTCAACTCCAGCTATTGTACAGAAAAAAAGGAATTAACAATTAGATTTGCAGTCTTGGATTCAGCTGCATTGCTGTTAATTGTTCTCCCTTTAAGAATGTAATCACTTTTGAAGATTCACCCAAGGTAACAAACTTTGTCTGTCAAAAAGTTCCTCTACAAATTAAAAACTGTTCCTTGAAGTCTCATGGGTTTGGGCACCGCAGTTTTAAGCTACCAGGACTGGAGTTCACTACCAGCAATGAGTGACCCAAGGGCATCCCACCAAGGCTCCCTGCTCAGCAAGGCACAGCTGGACCTTCACCATGTCCACAGCCAAGCAGTTACTGCCCCAAGAAGTGCTGGCCAAGCCCAACTCACTACAGTTAACTGGAGACGCCCAGAACAGTTTCAGTTTTCAAAAACACCTCTCAGAGGCACGTGAAGCACCTTCAGCGCCACGCGAGTCCGACCACGAGTGCTGCAAGGTGCGACCACGGCTTGCCCCCCCTGACTGCCATCCCAAAGCACTGGCAGCCAGGAGATACCCACCTTCCGCAGCTTACTCAGTGTGGGGAGCTTGGCCAGCGACGTCAGCTCAACGTTGGCCATGCTGAGAAACTGGAGCTCCTTAAAGGAGTCATTGAGCCCTTCGATTTCCCCGTTGCTGGACCGGCAGTTATCGAGCACCAACTCTGTCACCTGCAAAGAGGCCAGTGAGGCACGTGTGGGTGCGACAGCAGCGAACTCCCGCTCTCGCCTGAACCCCACCTAGAGACTGGGCACTGGCTGCTGGTTTGGGGCTTCATTTAAAATCAGAGCAGTCTTCTGCCCAGAAATCAGCAACACCCACCCAATTTAAAAATTATGCAGCAACTTCCCTTCCTCTAAGCACGCATTAAACTCTGCAAAAACTACCACCTGACCCCAAAACTCCATCGATGGACTGGTACAGCTGCTCTGGCTCCCCACAGAACCTCTGCAGCCAGGACACATCAGCTGCCCTGTACGCAACTGCTGACTTCTCCTCAGGTCTCATCATTTAACTGTGCATAACCAAACTCATAAAACCAGTTTCTCTCTGAACCTAAAACCTTCTGACTCCAGATTATTTTCCCAGAGAGTTCTGGAGGTTAATTGAACCCGAATAAATAATTTCCTTGTGCCCAAGCCACTCGATAATCAATATAGGTCGTGTACATGGAGAAGCAGCAATAAGAAGCAACCAATTAATTTCAAATTACTTTATCTAGAGTGGAGTGTCCACTTGATAAAGGACAGTAACAAGGTGACTCTTTCCTTTCCCCAAACACTAACAAAATTTTGGGAGTGCTGCAGACCCCAAGCAGCACAAAGCCAGCTTCCCACTATTACTTTATTTGTTTCATTGAAAGACCACCATTATTGCACACAGACACCGAATTGTAAGGCGAGCCGCTGGGGAGAAAGGGAGGTTCCCAGCTTCGTACCCGGCAGCTGCACGCTGGCAGCGCGAGGAGGCCTCTCCGGGTGCCTGCCTCCCGCAAACACGGCTGCGTGGGTTAAAACAACAGTTTCGGGCAGCTTTTCCCCCCCAAACCCACGTGCGCCAGGTCAGGGAAAGCGAGGGGCTCTGGACTTTTCTCTCGGGGCGGACCAGGCGCCGGTTCCTCAGCGGGAAGGGGGAAGCGAAGCTCCGGAGCCAGCGCGGGGCCCCGCCGCGCACGTGCGCTCCCGCCTTTCCAGGGCTTCTGGGCTTTCCTTTTTTGCTTTTTTTCCCCGGTTCTTTCCAAAGAAATGGAAAGTTGGAAGCGCGGGGGGACGCGGGAGGGGTATGGGGAACCCACAGCACGCCCGGCGGGGCGGCGGGCGCGGGAAACAACGTTAATTATATTAATTAAAGGCGCCGGGATGAACGACGGGCCGCGACCGGGGCCGCCGCCGTGACCTGTTTACTGCGGCCGGGGGAAGCGGCGGATTAACGCCGAGGGAAGCCGAGGCCGCCGCACCCCCCGGGAACTTCGGGGCACCCCGAGAGAGGAGGTGGAGGGGGAGTGCGGGGGGGCCGCGGGTCCCGGGGCTGCGCCGGAAGCGCCGCCCGCGCCCCGCCGGGCCCTGCGCCACGGCTGACCCAGATTCGGCAGCGGTGCCGCCGGGCCCGCGCGGCCCGAGGCGGCAGCGACGGCCCCACGGGGCGGGGGGAGCGCGCCCCACCGGCCCCGCCGCCCCTCACCTTCTCGGGGGCCCGGTTCCGCAACTCCAGGTTGATGCGCTTCTTCATCTCCATCGCCCCCCCTCCCGCGGTTCCGCACTGGCGAGGGAGGGTGGCCAAGAGCGGCCGCGAGGGTCGCTGCGGCTGCGGCGGGCGCCGGGAGCGCGCCGGGAGTGGGTCGGGGGTCGCCGGGGCCGCCCCGGCCGCGCCGCTCCGCCGCAGCTCCGGCACCGTCAATGGCCGCCCTCACACTGCGCCTCCATGACACGGCGCATGGCGCCCCCCCCGGCCACGCCCCGCCCCGGGGCGGGGCCTCCCCGAGCCGCACAGTCATTGGCATGGGGGGCGCCGCGCCATTGGCCGAGTGCGCTGCCCGTCCGGCCGAGGGGCGGGGTTTGTGTTCGCGCGCGGGGGCTGGCGGCTGCGCGAGCCCTGAGGGGGCCGGGCCGGGCCCGGGGTCGCGGCTCTGAGGGGCCGCGGCCGGCCGAGGTTCGCAGCTCCGGAGGGGTTGGGCCGTGCGCGGCCGTCCCCGCCCGTGCTCCCCTGTGGGCGCCGTGTCCCGCCGCGCCGCCTCGGAAAGGGTCTGCCCGCGGCCGTTGTCGCCCCCGGTGTTCCTCGGGGCGCGCGGGGCTCCACACGCCAGGTGTCGCGGTGGAGGGAGGTTCGCACCCCGGTCCAGCGCGGACGGGACCCTGCGGGGTTGGGCACATCCCCTCACTCCCGCTGCCGTCACATGCCCGGTGCTATGAGTGAGGGTCCAGGGGCGCGCGGGGGTCTCCGGTCTTGCGAATTTGTATTATTTTTTGGTTAATTTGGGCGATGGCAGCACTGCCAGCGCATCGGGGAGGGGAGACAGTTTCACACAGCTGAGGAATAGTCCGATTCCTAAAATCTGAGCCACTCGGGGGGATATATGAGGCTCATCTCCCTCTCTGAGTGGATACATGGGATTTGTATCCCCCTTGGGTTGCATATGTGGGATTTCTATCCCCCTTGGGGTGGATAGATGGGATTTATATTCCACTCTAGTTGGATATATGTAATTTAGATCTCCCCAGGTGGATAGATGGGATTTATATCCCTATGGAAAGTCTTTTCCTATTTATAATTAATAATTAATGAGCATTTCTCTATTGAAGCTTTTCTCCTGGAAAATGATCCTTGAAAAGAGCCTGCGAGCCGCCAGCTCATGCCCAGGCAGGACAATCTTGGGACAAACAGTTCCAAATATTTACATGTTGACTCTTTTAACTTTGGAGACAAATAACCGGAGACATTTTGGCAACATGGTGACAGAATTTAAAAAAACAAAAACCAACAACCCAACATGAGAATCTTGGGTTTGTTCCAGCTTTGTATAAACTCCATGGAGAAAATATTTCCTGTTTCAGGATCAAATGGGGAGAGGTCATCCAAGGAGTTTGTCTTGTCTTTTAGGAAAGGGTTAAAATGGGGTTGGAAAGGCTGGATATTGTGAGTGCAGGAATGGAGGAAAAATGGGAGAGATAAAGGAAAACCGGTGAAGGATTATTTATTTGTTCCGGACCCATGGGATGTGGATGGAAGCAGTTCATGTTCTTCCCAGTGGAGCTTGAAGGGCTGACCTAAGGTTCATGTTGATGGACAATAGTCCATCACTGGTGAGAACAAGGAGTTGGGAATTCACTGAGGGAAGACAAGAGAATATTAAAGGCAGGAGAGCAGCCCCAGCCCCCATCCATAATTGCCTAAATCTGTACCAGATCGCCTTCACAGGTCACTAAACAGGGTGTTTTCAACCCTGGAGCCAGTTCCCTCCTCACTGCTGGCTGTGGGTGGCTCTTCCCTGACCATGTTTGTGTGTCCCTCACTGGTTCTTTTGCAGCTGAAACCCAAAAACAGCCGCTGTGGGCTGTGGCTGCCCCGGGACACCGCTCCTGGACTGTGGCAGGCGTGATGGGAGCAGGCGCGGCAGGATTTGGCTCCAGGATGGTTTGATAAGGAGCTGCTGGAAAACACCAGAGACCTGGAGAGCTTCTGCTTGCTTCCTGCTGGGAGGTAAGTGGGAAAGGTTCTCACAACTGCAGGGAAAATCCTCTTTGTGTTAAAGCTGCTTATCCCAGGGGTTTGCTGGGAGAGCTGGGTGGCTGCTCACGGAGACAGTAGCTGTGGAGCCACCACCATCCTCTGAGTGGGGGGAAAAGGGTAAATCTGGGAAAGGAACTTCCAAAAGAACATGAGGATGGTGTCATTTTGGGACTAAAGAGGTTTGGGTGAATATTCCCAGCTTTGGGAGCAGGAAATTTCGGGGTGTGCCCATGTGGGGTGCGTTTCTGTCAGGACATCACTGTCCTGAAACACCGCTGGAAGGTGAGAATTTGATCAGGAAGATTTGTAACTGGAGGATTTGCTCTGGAAAGGAGCAATTCAATTTATAGTTAGGCCAGGTTACAACAAACTGGTTTATTTTCAATGTCTGCATTAGAGGGATGGTATATAGAAACATACCACTTCTTTTATTTTCCTTTAATTGCTTTTTACTCCACTCCAGGCTTGGAAATCTCACTGCTGTGTGATCCTGAATAATTTTCCAGGGTGTTCTTGGCTTTTTTCAATCCATCTTTATGGCATCACAGAGCCAGGAGGTGGCACTGCCAGGCAGTGTATCTAGTCTCTCTCCTCCAGACGCTTCTGAGCCCTTTTCAAGCCTTTTCGCTTCCTTAGGAAACAGAAGTTTTCTTTCCAAGGCTGGGGCCTGGATAACCTGGGAGTGGTGGGACAGGCCAGGGCTGGCACCGCTGCTCCGTGGGTGCACAGGAGGTGGGTGGGATGGGTCGTACCTGCTCCCAGGGTCTGGGCGGTTTCTGAAGGGCTCTGGGGACTGTGACCACCATGAATCTCCTGTTGGCTCGACTCAACCTCTTTTGTCCTCTAGGGTTACGTGGGTGCACCTGGGCCAGTTTTCCATCCCTCCTTCCTGTTAACTCTCCCAAGGAAAAGCAACGTAGGCACCGAGTGTGGGAGTGCACTTTTTTCCTCCAAAAAGGTATTTAACTGATTTTTTTTACCAAAATCAGCCATTTCTGCAACGGTTTGCTCTCTGTATGGGGGGCTGGGGTGGTGGGAGGTTTTCTGGTCCAGCTTCTCATCACACCCAGATACTGTGGGTGTTTCTGGAAAATAAATGGTGTGAAGAGCAGTTGTGGAAGAAACAAAGTTGGGAGTTCCTGGCTGGGTTTTGAGGCTTGAGAAGATCCTTCTGATGGGACAAGCACTGCACACATTGTTTGTATTTGTTATGCCAGTTCTGGTGGTGGTTATGGGTTATTTACTGTGAGAGACCGTGCACCAGTTGTTGGGGATTTTATTGACAGAGGTTGTTATTTACAGCAGAGTCTGAGGAAACAGGAAGGGACTGAAGCATTGCAGAGCTCTCCGTGCTCGCGCCGTGGGGCGGCACCGTCCCTCCACCAAAACCTCAGACACAAAATCTCGCAGTTCCAGAACAGAGACAACGCCTCGTGGAGAGGATGTCATTGTCAACGCCTGACAGTGTCCTGGTCACCACCCCAGCCACCGTGTTTGGAATGAGGGAAAAAGGTAAGCAGGTTCCAGAGCGTGGCAGGACGGGGGTCGGCATATTCCTGTGATGTTGGAGAGTTCCATCTGTAGGAGAAGGTTGGCCAGGTGGGACAGAGCTTCAGAGGAACCTGGGCAGGAACCAGCTGGTCTGTGAGGTTCATCCCAACCCAAACCATTCCAGGGTTTTATGGAACAGGATGTTTGAGTGGATGAGCAGTGGGAGGTGCCTGGCTGCTCACACCTGTGAAGGTCCCACTGAACGCCAGGAGGTCATTGGGAAAATGCCCTGGAAAGCCTCTCCAGGCTATTAGTGGCATCAGAGCTGCTGGTGAGTTCCCTGGCATCGCATCTGGATGCCTGGAAGGGTTTGTTATCTTTCCATTGTTTTGGAAAGTTGCTGCTTCAGAAAGAATTTGATTTCCCTGGGTTAAAGGACACACTTTGAGTGAGTGTTGAAATCCCAGAGTACCTTTGGAAGAGGAGTCTGGGGGTCATAGCAGGAGACACAGGAAGCTGAGGAGGATGATGAGGGTGAGGTGGCCCTGCAGGGATGGTCCCAATGATTCCTGGGAATCCTGGTGAGCCAAGGAAAATCAATCAGTAAGAAAGTCCCAGCTCTGCCTGTGGCAGAGCTCCTGAGCTGACAAGCACCGACCTGACTGTTGTCAACATCCCTGGAATCCCCTGGAGCATTTGTGTCTGGTAATCCTGAAATCATGGTGGTGGCATTCTCTTCTGGAAACCACTTCTCCCAGTCCACCTCTCCAATGGTGCTTGTCTGGATGTGCAGAAAGAAAATAACCTGATATGTCACAGCATAGCATTAACTCCTAGTCTAAAAATCAGCAGTTTTAATCCATTTATTTTTCCTTGTGGCAGAGATTTGGGTGAGGAAAACCTGTTTTTTGGGGAGTACTGAGATAAACCCAACTCACCTCATATGTATCCAACTCATACATGTATGTGGCAGGGGTTGCCGTGATGTTGTCATAGTAATAATCTTCTGTGGAATAATAGTAATTACCTGGAATGGAAACAGTTCCAGGTGAGGTGGCACTATGGGGGTGGAGGACACCTGTCCAGAATGGGGTGAGATGAGTCCCTCCCCCATGTCCTGGGTTGTGATCGCCCAGCCTTTCCCCCTGAGAAGCCAGTGTATCTCAAATTAATCTGGACAACGCAGAGAAATCCTTTCCCAGCCCCAGTTAACTCACTCAGGCTTGTGGAAAACGGTAAAAAGGCTTAAAAAAGGCATTTCTCACTTAAATGTGCCATGTAGTCATATAAATCCTGTGCGATCTCCTCCATGTCATCTTGGACCTCTGCCTTCCCTGAAAGCAAAGGAACAACGTGTGGATCATCATGCAGCGCCTCGGGTCGAGCTGTGGGTGTGGGGTCATGTGAAGTTCCATTGATTTATTGGTGCTTTGGGCAAAACCCGTTTCCTGTGGGACTGATGGATTTACAACCTGACCCATAATTAGATCCCAATGAAAGGTGTGGGAGGTCAGACCAGAGCTGGGGTTCTCCTCCGTTTTTGGGTGTGGGTGTGCCGGAAGCGAGAGATGCAGTGGTGGGGATGGAGCCTCTGCACCCCAGAGCCAGAGCTGGGCTGGGGCTCCCCTGGGATGAGCCGCTCATCCAGGATCCAGCTGCTCCAGCGCCTTTGGCTGTGGAGCTGCCAAGGGCTCAGAAGGGACCCTCCTGTTTCCATAGGGCTGAGCCACTATAAATAAATTCTGGCCCATGTGACATTGTCACAGTTGGAGCAAGTGGCTCATTCCCTATTCCAAACACAAGGTTCTGTGCGTTTTCTTGTTTTTCGGGGGGATTTTTTAAAGCAAATTAATTGGGAATATTAATGTTCTAATAGTCACAGATTCATGACAATGGAAGATATGGAATAAGGTATTTTATAGTTTGATATTAATCTATAGTCATAAATAAGGTAAAATTGTCATTATAAGTTGCACCATTAATAGCTGGAATGATGGCTGTCAGTCATGCCCAGGGCCAGCTGTGGCTCCAGGTCTCTCTCCAAACCCTCCCACTTCTTCCTCTCATATCCCTGACTTTTTCAGCACTGGCAAAGCCTGTGGGGGAAGCCCAGGTCCCAAAATTCTCATTAGGGAATTCTCTGAAAACAGTGACTGAGGCTGAAGATTGCAGGGTGGGATCGGGGCTCTGCAGGAGGGACAGTGCAGCCTCACCCGTCGTGGTGTCAGGTACCCCAACCTGTCCCACTCCCATCCTGAGCTTTTGGGGAAATTCGGGCTGAAGTCGGGACTTGCCCCACCCCTCTCCTTCCCACGCTCATCCTCTGACAATGCCCCAGCAGCGCTGAGCTCTGGCTCTGGGGCACATAATCCTGTGCTTTCCCAAAAGCCACTCCGAGCCGGCTCTTGTGTTGACACTGCAGTCACACTAACGGCAACCGTATCCCAAAAAGAGCTTCCAGCTGGGAATCCCCTCCCTGATGTTTCATGTTTGGGTCCGTTCCTTCAGTGAGGAGAAGAAAGGGAAAGAGGAAGAGGGAGACTCTTGGCATGGCAGAGCTGCAGTTCCCACTTCCCCTCAGCCGCTGCTTCTCTGCATCCGAACTTCCCAGAGATGGGGGAATACCATGCTCATCCCTAAGCAGCTCCAGGCTGGGGTTTTTCTCCCTCAGTATCTTGATTCCACTCTTTCCCATCTCAAAGTTCCCAAGTAACTCTCAGGAAATCCTGTTGGGGCTTTTTCCCTGTGTCTCCTAATAGTTCCCAGCTGGAATTTGCAAATGATTTGAACACAATGTGGGAAACGTTCACTATCCCACTGTTCTGCAAGCACACATTTATGGAACTTGCAGTAATTTACATGGTGTATTCCCGGTATTTTTTTGCCTGCAATCCCCTTTCTCCAAGAAAATCCCCCCCAAGATCTTTCAGCTTCTAAACCCCTCCATCTGCCCCGCGGCATCCCAGGAGTGTGGGAATAATCAGAGCAGCGAGCTGAAATCCAGCTGCCCTTAGGAAAGCCCGGGAAACACGGGGAATGTATTTACCCGTCAAGGAATGAAGGAGCAGGAGCACAGCGATGCAGAAGTTCATCGTCCTCCGTTGGGTGTCGGCTGCCGGGAGCGGCTCCGCTCCTGCTCCGCGGGCCCTTCCTGAGCCGTCCCGGTGGGGCAGGAAATGACTCGGGGGGGGTTGAGAGCGGGAGGGAGCCCGAGCTGTGCCCGGCGCTGCAGCGGAGCGCGCTGAGCGTGTCCCGGGTCCCGTGTCCCGGGTCCCGTGTCCCGGGTCCCGGCGGTGGAAGTTTCCCGTTGTGGAGGCGTTTCAGATGGCTGAATTGCAGATCTTGGGAAGTTTTCCCCGGGGAGGGTTAGTGCCGCTGGATGAGTTCTCATATGGAGGGAGGATGGTTTTGATTATGTTCTAACAGAGCAAAGCAGAGCTATAAATAGCAAATTCTTCTGGGAGCGAAAGCAGAGATGCTGACTAGGAGCCAGAGTAAAAGTCCTGACTTCCCGTAAAATCTTGGGGTATTTTTTTGGCTTGGCTTCATTTCCCCTTCCCATGCCTCAGTTTCTCCATCAGGAGGAAGAAACGTGAACGGTCATGGATTTATTTTAATTTATAGTGGGTAAAAACACCCTGAGGAGAAGGCGATAGAAGAGCTCCTGCGAGGAGCCGGCGGGATCCAGGTGGGAGCTGGTGCAGACTGGAGGGGGAAGGAAAAGGGGAAGCGAAGGAGATAGAGATGATGTAAAGGTGGTGTAAAATCAGCTATTTTTGTGACTCTTGAATATGGAGGTTAGAAAACCAGGAAAGAACAAGACGAGTCTTGCTAAGTACAGGAGGAGCTCTGTTTTGGGTTGCAGGGCCATGGAATCATGGAAGGGGTTGGGAGTGGCCTCAAAGCTCATCTCATCTCATCTCATCTCATCTCATCTCATCTCATCTCATCTCATCTCATCATCTCCTGTTGATTTTAAACCAAAGATTTCTGTAGATTTTAAGGATTCAAATCAATTTTAAGCCAAAAATTCCCCAAAGCAGACTTCTTTTCCTACCAACAGTGGACCAAACTGAAGAATTTTTCCAGCGTATCCCAAAGCCAATTCTCAGCCTCCCTGGGGACCTCTGTGCTTTGCCGAATGAGCTTCCCCCATCCGTAGAGAGATGTTTAGCGAAGGGTTAAATACCCAGGAATGCCGAGCAGGAAGTAATTCTCTTCAAATCCTCCTCTCTGCAAGATCCTCCTCTCCCTCCTCCACAAAAATAACATTGGAACTCAAAAATCCCAACCCAAGCAGAAATCTGAACTTGTAGTGAAAAACCCCAGCAGGGCTGGAGGCACTGGGGGAGCACGGAAGGGTTAAAATATCCTGGGATTAAAGGAATGGGCAGGGAAGGGGCGAGGAAGGTCCCTGAGGATGATTATGGCTTATCAGATGAGTGGATGGGGTTGAATGGACAAACCCTTGGCATGAGAGCTGGGAGTCAGAATTCAGTGGGATTTGCTCGCTTGGGGTTTTCTGACTCTTCAGAACTGGGTGTGATGGTGTAAGACTTGGAAAAATCGAGAAAATGTGGAGAATCCACTAAGGGACATGGATAAAATGTGCCATAAGGTGGTAAAAGGGGGAAACAGCTGCTCTTCCCTGGCTGTGACCAGCTGGAACATCCCAGCAGCATCCTGCATCCCAGGTGCAGATCTTGAATTGTGTTTCTGGATGGAAAAGGAAAGGAAACGTCTCTATTGTTGTTCTGTTTTCTTTTTACCTTTTTTCTTACTGATTCTTCACATCTGGTAACACAGAGCAAACCCAATGCAGCCACAGAAAGGAGGAAGACCAAGGGCTTTTCCATCTCCCATCCCAAAACCTTGTTTCCTATTCCCCAAATCCCTATTTTGCTCAATCTTTCTACTTTTTTGTCTTTATTTTTTTAATTATTAAAGGGGTTTTTTTTGCCAAAATCCGACAGTAAAATTTGCCACAGCAACAGAGCAGCAAGGGAGGGGCACCTTTCCTGAGGGAAAACTCAACACGTGAACCAAAAGAGAGGGAAAAAGGAAGGAAAAGGAGAAAAACAGAAGGAAGAATGAGACTCTTGTTTTTTGCCATGAGGGAGCTGCATCGCAGGGATGCTCTGGGCACCCAGAGCCTGGTGCTGTGTCGGGGGGTTCAGTCCAAGGAGGAAGGTGCAGCTGAAGTCAGCGATGCTCGGATGCGTTGTGTCATTTCCCAGCTTTAATAGGCGGAAGCGAAACAAGAAGGGAAATTAATACAACGCAGCCGGTAACTCCCGGTTCTTCCCTGAACAATGCCTCGTGCCCAGGAGATTCGCGGGATTCCTGCGGAAGAGGCTGCAGGGGACATTGTTTGGAGTTTTCCTTGCAGGAGACGTGAAGATGGATGGAAAAGCCAAGCCCTCATGGCACCAGTGCCCAGCACTCCCTGCAGCACCGTCAGTCCACAGGGAGGTGGAATGAGCTGCCCATCCCATGGGAATCTGGAGGGAGCGGCTTTGGAGCTGTCCAGGCTGTTGTTGCTGGCTGATGGAATTTTTTAGTCTAAATAAAGTTTTCCTGCTCTTCCCAGCTCCTCTGTAAACAGTGGCAGCATGGGGGTGGAGGACAGAATCAGAATGGGAGATGTAAGGGGCTTGGAATAGAGAAAAAATTCTGCTTTAAAGAAGAATTCCTTGAAAATAGAAGAGGAGAGAGGAGAGAGGAGAGATGTTCCGGCAGATGGGTGGTACTGGGCATAGACTGTGTCAGGTGTCCCCAGTGCAGTCCCTGTCCCGACTGTCCCTGTCCCGACTGTCCCTGTCCCGACTGTCCCTGTCCCGGGTGTCCCTGTCCCGACTGTCCCTGTCCCGACTGTCCCTGTCCCGACTGTCCCTGGCCCGACTGTCCCTGGCCCCCGCGTCCCCGCCCC